CCCACCTCTCCACCCCATCGCCTTCCCTCCCAGCCAGAAAGCTACGGCTAACCTTCCCTCCCAGCAGGAGGGAAAGCCTCAAGTCTCATCTCAGAGCTCTCAGGTTTAACTATAACCTATACTCACAATTTTCAAAACGTCATTTGGGGCCAGGTATTTATTGCCTCCTATAAAGTTGACAAAGTCTTAGAACTATGGCAAACCAGTCTCCACAGAAGCCAGTTGACTATGTGCCCCCAACCTTCCTTCCATGAGGTCCTCAGGGCCTGAATTCCAGGTAGAAAGGGGCTCTACTTTATAGAGCACCCACAGTTCTATCACCCCCAATCCCAATCTGTTTTACATAGTCTACCTCACAGAAGTAAATGCTTGTCTTCAAATAACTCTTACTCCTGCCATGGCGACACCAGAAGGAAAGGGGCTGGGTGAAGCTACCTTGAAATCTGGAAGCCAGCAGCTGGTGTACCTTCAACCCCCGCAGAGATGCAGCTGCCAACCACCACTGCAGACATTTTGCTCCAGCTTCCTGGAGAGCAGGCCCGCAGGCCCTGTGTGGGCTCCATTTACTCTTTCATCATCATAACTGACCGCTGTAAGAGACGTCCTGACTCAGCACACCAAAGCCCCACCTGAGAAGGAACTGCCAGACAGCCCTTCAGTGGGTTCCAACAGATGAAACCAGACGCCCACATGGAGAGACCGTGCCTTACCGCAGGTGGTGGATGTCCACTGGTGATGACCTGAAGTCCAGTACTGCCAACCCAATTCTACCTGCTTTTTAAAGCTCATCAGCTTTACTCTGACTCCGCTGGGCATCCCAGGGGACTCTGATGTGCAGCCAAGACCTGACCCTCAGGCTGGGCAGTGGCCACCACAGAGCCAGGTCCTCACAATGCCACCCTGCCTTGTCTCCCAGCTTCCCCAGCGGATTCCAGAGTCACAGAACAGGTCCTGGCTCAGCTGTGTGCTGGCTGTGACTCTGGGCAAGTCATTTACCCACCAGCCTCAGTTCCTATCTGTAAAATGAAGCCATATCTCCTTGCATCTTTAAAAGGCCAGAGTACGGGAAAGCACTTTCAAAAACCATACACCATCCTGCAAGTGTATATTGATGATAATAATATCAAAATGGGACTTCTGTCCTATAAAAAGCAGTAACTGAATCTTGATGGAGTTTTTATAATAGATAATAAAGCAGCACACAGTGAATGAACTTGATTTAATTTTAAAACCATGTAATTCACATTAGAGCAAATCCATTTTATGTTTACAATAAAAGCATATCACATATTTAAACCTAATAAGGCTGTATTTTGCACCTTACCATGGCAAACTACCAAATAAAATGCAGGAAATGACACTTTGAGGCAGAAAATCATATCTGAGTCAAATCAAGAATCTTTTGCTGAAAACTGTGAAAAGCAATTTACCAGCTTCTTTGTAACAGTAAAAATTAATAAGCACTAAAAGCAAAGCCCTATCTTCCCAATCAAGAAGTCTACTTTATGCCCTAGCCGGTTTGGCTCAGTGGTTAGAGTGTTGGTCCGTGGACTGAAGGGTCTCGGGTTCAATTCTGGTCAAGGGCATGTACCTCGGTTGTGGGCTCGATCCCCTGCCCCAGTCAGGGTGCCGGAGGCAACCAATAGACCTCTCTTTCTCCCTTCCTCTCTCCCTCCTCCTCTCCCCACCTTCCACTCTCTCTGAAAAGCAATGGAACAAATATCCTCAGGTGAAGATTTAAAAACAAAAAAGAAGTCTACTTATTTAGGCCCAGCACATTTAAATTGATTTTTGTAGCAGAACGATGGGGTTTTACCCTATTATTCTTATGTACTTGATATATGGGGTACACCATTATCTATTTAAAATATTTAATAATCACTACTCAATTTTCTTTCCTAAAGTTATATAAATAATTTTAAGTCATTCATCTGAGACAATACGGGTTGTTGCTTCAACCAGACTGAAGCTAGTCTTCAACTCTGTTCTATGGCTGCTGCACATGAAGCCAGCCTGAGGAGGGCGACAGGATGAGTCCACCACTAGACTCCAGACTTCCTTCCCCCAAATCAGGCCGACCAGGGCAAGGGGCGGGGGTGGCTGCAGCTGGAAGAGGGAGTGAAGGGGCTAAAGGTCGGCCAGCGTGATAAGACACAGGATTCAGGTTTTACCACAGCTCTCAGTCCTTTGAATTTTAGTATCGTTACCTATTTAAAATATTGTCTTTGTCAAGTTCTTAAAAACTATCCCAGAAGCACAAACTGTTCTTCAGGACATTTCTTCAGGAACAGATATTAGCCTCATTTTGTAGGTTGGAAAGCAGGAGAGCAACTTACCCAAGAATGAATGAATCAATGCCAGGAGGCATGAAGGGAGGCAATGGCCTGAGGCCAGCTGCTGTCTCCTGGGAGGTCCTGAGCAAAACAGATGAACTGCTTGTCCCTAAAACAAGATCCTAGCAAAACAATCCCCATATCGACACTGGATAGGATCAGATTTCAGTCACTGATAATTATGTTTAAAGTAGAGAAGAAACTTCTAGGCAACACTACCAAAAAAAGACTAATCAGCATAAAAGTTTATTTAATTATCATCGTTACATGGGTTTCCCTGACAAAATTACGACCAGTGTGTAGACATACAACAAATTTCAGGCTTCTGACACTCAAGCAAATATGACATTAACACATGCACTATTCCTGTCTGTGGATCTAGCAGTAAGGAACAAAGGTGTATAAACAGCCCCAAATTCACCCAGCTGCTGGGTCACTCAATGCGTATGGTAGGTTGCTCAGAGAGAAACCCAGCTAGTCTTCTCAGAGCTGTTGAAATCAACATGCTTCTCCTGTGCACTTACTCAGGTTCTTCCTTTATATGACTGACGGGACTTGAGTTTTTTTAAAAACCCTGTTATGAGCCAGAGTATGCTGGAGTGTGGAAGCAATGGAAGGAAAAGCCCAGGGATCAAGGGCCCACGTCCCACACCACTCTGGAGAACGCAGTGCCAAGGTCTGCGCTCGCATGGGCACTTTTACACTGAGCAATACTTGCCCTTCCTGTGTTCCTCCCCCTGAGACAGGCATTGCCCCATTTTATAATAAAGATACTGAGGCTGGCAGGACAGAGGCAGTAGCTAAACAAGATCCCTAGGGGGACAACTCATCTACTGTTCTATCCATCAAACCCTGAGGCCTGCTGAAAGTGCATGTCCCCTAAGTTCTAGAGAATTACCGTACTTAGAATTTTTTAAGAGAAAATGGCTTTACATGAACTTATCTTGCAATGGCATATGTTATGCTTCTCTCCAAATGCAAAGTCAAACCCAGGTGAGGGCTGTCCTACAGGGGCACATACATCCACAGGGTCACAGCACACTTCTGAGGGCCAGTGCTACAGGTGAAAAGGGCTGTGCCCATGGTGCTTCCTGGACCAGGTGTAGTGCCCAGTGTGCCAACTCCTGGCACAGCCGCGATCAGGGCTGCCATGGGGGCAGCTAGACTGACTGAAGGCTGAGTTTGCAGAGGAAGGGGTTCCTGAAGGAGCCCAGGTATAGGTGCCCGTCGTGCTCGTGTACTTCGCTGATGTAGGGGGCCACCTGCCCGTCAGGATCATGCAGGCTTCTCAGGAAGGCGCCACTGTTGCTGAGTTCTAGGACGAGGGTATACCGTGGCACAAGCTTCATCACCGTCTCCTGACTAAACAGCTGGAAGGGAAGCACAGTGTGAGCCGAGTTTCCCTACAGACTAAGATAATGCGAACAGATCCAACCTTTTAAAAACAAGACAACAGGCCCACAGTGGGGTTGCTGACAGTAAGCCCACGCCACCAAACCAAGGCTGAACTTATTTACAGTTTGGGCTCTCTCAGAAATGGACTCTGAAGCCAATCCGGAATCAATCTCCCGATCAGCACTAGTTAACTCATCTGCCTGACAGACCCCTGCCATCCCCTAAAGGAAAGTGACCTTGCAACATCTACCCTGATTTATGCTTAGTGTGACATCCTTGTTCCTGTTCCCTTCTGCCTGTAAAAGTCCCTCATTTTGTAGAGCTCCTTGGAGCTGCTTTTTATCTGTTAGACTGGATGTTGCCCGGTTCATGAATCACTGAATAAAGCCAATAAGCTCTTTAAAATTTATTCAGTTGAATTTTATTTTTTAACAGACCCCACAGCCCCTCACCATCTACAAAGGGCCCAGCTCCTCTAGTAATAGGGAGGCCATATAGGGCAGAGCCAGGTTAAACCAGTTCCCTACTCCCAGCACAGGCTGTCCCACAGCAGGGCTCCCCCAACTTCCCCCCACCCCCTGAGCAGACACAGCCACAGTGCCTCCTGTCATTGCATGCAAGAGACAAGGTTAACCCAGTATAAGGACAGTAGCTGTCCAACAGCCCTTATGCAATACCCACCAGTCCTGCAACGTAGGAACCTCTGGATGACCTGGCCGAACACAAAAGTACAAATCACATCCAAGGAAGACACAACATGAGGCCAAGGCCTAGAGTGACATCGAACCCAAGAATGCGGGTTAAAACCAGCACAGCCCAGCTGGAATAAATGCCAAGCCCTCTGACTGTATTTAAGATAGTTCAGCTGTGCAAGGTGCAAATGATGGAGATCTGAAAGCAGTTCATGTTAAAGAAAAAAAACCTCACCAGGTCTAATGAACATGTCCCTGTCCTGAGACATGACAACAGCTCTAGACTCTCCTCGCAGCCAGTGCAGAGCTCAAACACACCCATGCTGAGCAGACACACCTTCTAGGAGCCTAGCCCCTGGCTCAGCCCGGCCAAGAGGCCCACAAGGCTATTGAAGGGTTTTAAGCAAAGAAAAACATAGCGAGATGCACAATTTCTGGCAGAGCAGGTAGGAAATGATGACTAAGGACACCACTGCATAAGATCAACAAATGAAAATCAATAGGCAGAATTTACCTTCTAATATAAGGGAAACAGCCACACAATTACAAATGTCCAATGAATAATGTCTCCTAGTCACTGGAAATGTTCAAGTAAACATACAAGTCGACTGTGTTCTAGAAGGTTCTATAGTGAATGATCCAAGTTGCACTGTAGCTCAAAATATTCCATAAGGCTTCCCAGGATCCATGAAATCCCACCTCCCTTCAGCCATAGGTCCTCCTCTCTGCTCTCTCCACCTTATCCTTAGAGATCTCATCCCTTCTCGTTAGTTTAACTCGTCACTTTCCCAGAAGCTGACCGCTCTCCTGTGCCAGGGACCCCATCCATATTCTCTGTCACCAGGAGCACATCCCATCACTCCAGCTCTAGTTCATATTTATGGTCTCACTCTCTAATCACTCATTTATTCAACAGTAACTTCTAAGTGCCTACTGTGTGCCAGACACTGCTCTCAGTGCTGAGGATAAAGGAGTGAACTAAACAGAAGAAATTCCTGCTCTGCTGAAGCGCATGTTCCATCAAGGAGAGAGACACTCACTCACCACCCAGAGGCACACCCTTGCTGGAGAAAAGCTGACAGGTACAGGCACTGAACACTTCCTACACTCAGCTAAGGGCTTCTGTGCACATTCTCCTATTTTTCCAGCACTTAATGAAATGCTGTGTTTCCTCCTACTTGACAGATGGAGAAATTGAAGCAGAGGTGACATCTGCCAGGGTCAGGTGATGTGGTCCCCTTCAAAGCTCCTCTTCTTGCCCACCCTACCATTCTTCCTCCTCCTAGGTTCCAGGCTCTGACACCAACCAGACAAAGAGGGGGAATGTGTTATTTCCGAACAGATCAGAATTTTCTACAGTGGCCCCTAAACTCAGAACAACACTGACAGCCATGGAGCAGCCTGACTGAGCAGGTGAATGCAGCCCCTCACCGGGGACCAGACATGGGACCTGGCACCACATGGATTCAGTAATTGCTGCCTGGTACTGTTAAGTTACAAATATTTTAATATCTATTCAAATATTCAATATCAATTTCAAATACTATTCAGCCTATAAAATGGAGCTTTTCAGAAAATAAAATCTCTATATGAAGGAAGCACCTCTATCAGCAAGTGACTCACCCCCACTGTAAAAACACGTAGAGTTACACTCGGGGCATTTCATGGAAGCCACTGATAAAAAGGGTAGGATGACAAACATTTAAAGGCTGTGCTGAATGGCCTGCTGGCCGTTGGTAAGGGTGGGTGATTTTTTTAATGGAAAATATTTTGGTGTGCTAAGATGTCAAAGGGCAAAAATCCTCTGGAGAGGGGTGACTGACAGGAGGTTCCAAGAAGCAGGAGGGAGCAGGGCAGCATGGGGCCCACGGTGAGTGAGCTGACATGTATGGCCACAGGAAGAGGCACCAAATAGCCCTTTAAGGAGAAGCAGTGTCACCTGCTGGCAGGCAGGGGAAGGGGAGGTTGCAGGGCCTGGAGAAGGGAGAAGGTCTGAAAGGCATTCTTAGAGTTGGAAGAGCAAGGATGCAGGCAGGGTAGAGATGCTGAAAGGTCATGATGGTGAAGGTGATGATAAAACACCCAGACCAGAAAACCAGAAGGAAAAAACCAAAGGCTTCAAATGTTTAAGTTTACATGTTGGGCTGAAGAAAGGTGTTTTAAAGAAATCACTAAAAGTACTAAATATAAGCCAAACTAGAATTTTTAGAGCTATAAATCAAGAGATTATAATTAGATGCATCTTCTAATTATAGTTTTGGTTTTTAGAATTATAGTTTTCAGTTACCTTAAAAATCATTCTTTTAATGTAAGGTCTCTCGGATAAGAAATCCAACATCGAAAACCCTGGGTTGGCGCGAATGGCTGGCATGCTGACCCAATACCCGCCAGAGCTGCTGGGCCGGATGCTGTCTGGGAATCCAGGCAGGTTCTCCACGAACAGGTCAGACCCTCCCTTCATCAGGCCAGACACGTAGAATCTGAAAAATGCACCCAAGCAGGTGTGAGCAGCAGGCCCCCAATTTAAGAAAATGATTTTAGCCAAGCACCACATCAGTCTTGGTTCCAATAAGTTTATGGCAACAACTATAAATATGTCGATTATGAACAAAGGTGCAGCTGCTGAAAGTGGCACTCATGAGCCCCGGGCCCAGCTAGATGCAGTCTAGGGAAAAGGTGGTAGGCCAAGACCCACTGATGGGGAAGGGACCTGGGATGCGCAGTCAGCATTACATTAAGACTCTCCCAGACTGCGACGCTCAAGTAGGCTGAGAAATGGGAAAAAGAAAACGCACCCCTGAGTTTGACTTTCTCAAATTCTCTCAGTGGACACCTCCATGCCCATCCTGGGCACAAGGCTCACTGGTGAACACTGACAGTTCAGCAGATGCTGCATGTTACCTTCTTATCCTTGCCATGGTCATCTCTGTCACCAGGATGAAGTCCTCTGCAGGAGATAGCTGCACTCCGTTAGGGAACAACAACTGGTCCAGTAAAACCTTTACTTCCTTGGTCTCAGTATCATACTCTAGCAGGCTGTGGGTGCCAACAGCAAAGGGTCACACACGGAGAGTCCACAACCCCCCTGCTGGGTTGGAGCCTTGCTCCTCTCTGGGCAGGGACCTGCAGAAGGGGACTCAGCCTCACACTGGCCCCTTGTGGTGCCCTGCTCAGACATGGTCCCAGGCTGACCGCTAGGAGCCCTTCCCCATCCAGGGCAGCCCCAGGCATCCTCTTCCAGATACCGTGCCTCCCCCCCCCCCC